CAGCTAAGTCCTGGTCTGTGGTGGGAGACGTTTTTTTTTTTTTAAGAATGAAAAATTTAAATGTTAAGTAAGTCATAAGGTCACATATTGCCTTATCCACAAGACACGTCATATCTATGCATCAATACACACTGAATCTGATAAATCTGAATCTGAAAAATGCCAGACAAGGAAACCCTTGGTTAAGGTCATGAGCATCAATTAATTATGAAATGGGCATTTCTGAAGTGAATGTGGCACTGACCTTCCCTCCTTTCTCCTGTGCAGGTTTGTTGGTCCTAGAGTTTACCAGGGTCTCAGGCCACCTGTTATTGATCAGATTAAGATAGTTAAACATGAATCATCCTGTAATCCTGCACTTTCAGGAAACAATTAGTTAGTGGGGGTCACGGTGTTATTATCACATTTTATTTGGCTATATTTAAGGAAAGCATTCCTGTTCTGGTTATTCAAATTTATTATTTATTTATTTGTAAGGCAGCTGATGAGCAGCTTCTGGATATGGCCAAAATTAATGGAAAACATCTGAGTCATAAAGTTTTCTAGCATGCAAGGGAGCCTATATGGCACTGGATGGCATTTTCTTAATTCTAAGGCCATCATAGAGGGTATTTTATCACGTTTTGTCTTCTGTAGGGGTATCCAAGAGGGTATTTTCCCTCCAATATCAGCTTTTCTAAATCAGTCTACTGCGCTGTTTAAAATGTAATGCAAAATCGCTACCTGTGGTCAAGTAATGTTGCAACAAATTGTCACTTTAATTGACATGTAGTCAATTACTGCCCAGAGTTAGCAGGATGGTGCCAGGAATCATTAACATTTGGGAGTCATGAGAGTGTTATGTAGAGACTACGCACACAGTTCATGAAGGTAAGGGTTAAAAAAACACAGACACACACACAAATCTATATCATATCCTTAAGAAAGAAAGAATTCACTGCCAATCAATTGATCAGGTGTAGTGACAAAACAGGTAAAAAGTACAAACTTTTGCAAACACGCTCACTGTCCCTTCTCATTATGTTGTTACTGATGTATTCAATATTTCAACTGCCATATGAGGATACTTTTTTTTAGAATTTTTATTATTATTGAGATGTTAGGGACAGCACAATCCCAAAAGAGCATAAAACCAGTGTTGCCCTAACAGTAATGTAGGAAACAGTTAGATAATGCTGACTTACCTTGGCGTCTTGGACATCATTTTCAAAAGCACAATTAAAAACCACTAAATGAGGCATAAAAAATTCTGGCTGATACTGTTATCCATCTGCAAAACAGGTGCGCTCCCTCTCACTCTGGCAAAAACAGGTCTATACAACAGTGTCCCAAAGAAACACACACACACACATACACACACACACAATCCCACACACAGTTGACAAACTCTATTAGTGTTTGCAAGATTAAGCCAACAGATTAACAGGATTACGTCACTGTAATGTTGGTGATCTTGACATACCTGCCTACAATGTCTGGAAATGCTGCAAAAGTCTAGTTTCTATCACATCTAAGTATGTAATTTACATAAATACAATCCACAAGAAAAGTCGAAAGAAACTAAAGAAAAATTAGTTTTTTAAAGTCCAACTGAGGGGATTTGACTGCTGACCTTATGTTTGCACTGCTTATGACACACAGTGACAAAGCTGTCACTGCGGATCTGTGAGCTGTGACCTCACCTGGACTATCAAAAACTATTTCTTAGATTCATCACTAGTCTGCATAAAAACACTTTGAGTCTTGAGACTATAGGTTAAAACTACATTATTGGCCATGAGGCAATTCTAAGCAGTGTTGGAGAAATAACTGATTACATGTAACTGGTTATATGCAGCAAATTACATATAATTAAATTACAAAATAAATGTAATTGTGACCAGTGGCATTTACTGAGGAAAAATGTGTGATCTAATTACAGTTGATAATCAAAATGTTGGTGATTGGGGTCACACTGAATATATTCTTTTCAATTAAAAATCTATATGTAGAATAAAAAAAATATCACTCTGTTGCTTTGCTTTTTTTTCTGTGCAGGAATGCCTTGTTTTGCCATGGGCTAGTTTTCAACTTTATTGCTCAGTTTAAAACATACATTGTCAAAAAGTTATCAAATGTAATAAGTTACATTATTTTGATGAATTAATTGAAATGTTTACATTACTTATTAGCCTACATTTTTTACAGTGTAACTAGTAGGCCCAATCCAGCACTGATTCTAATTAGCTGTATCTAGTAGTATCAGGTAACATTACAGATTAAAGTTAGACTGGTGTTGTTAAAAATATACATGCAATACATTTTACACACTATGTAGGCAAGATTTCTTTCCTTTTTTCCAATTCCAAATGACATGGCATAAAAATGAAATGTAACAAATGTTAAAAGGGTGTTACAAGGTGTCTGATCGCTCCTACGTTGAATATCCTCCTGGGACCCTGTCTCCTCATATGATGACATCATATTTTGGGTTTAGTTGACCTTATAGACGGAATCGCCTTGTTGTTTACATTTACTTCTGGGTAGAAAACCGGCGCGTCAGTTGAATGAAGACGAGCGAGACGAACGAGAGGTAAGCTATATATATCATTGTTTAGAATAATTTGATATTTGTAAAGTCTATAAACCAATGATTGAACAAACATTACTACTTCTGTATGCATGTTTTTGTAATTAGTCATGGTTATCGTAGATTAGTTGAGCTAAGGTTAGCTGTTCAATCATTGGTTTTATAGACTTTACAAACATCAAATTATTCTAAATGATATATATAGTTTACTTCTCGTTCGTCTCGCTCGTCTTCATTCAACTGACGCGCCGGTTTTCTACCCGGAAGTAAATGTAAACAAGGCAATTCCGTCTATACTACATACTACTTAACTTATAACTGTTGTCCTCATTCATGGAAACTTTTTTGTGCCACCTAGTGGTAGTAAGAACACAATACACTAATCCATGTAAAAACAAGATGGCAGCCATCTCTGCCAAGTCAGTCTGCAGCCGATCCCGACACAAAACTGGACAAGGACCAAAAGCTGATCGGATTTTATGGTTGAAACTTGTTTATGATTTGTTTATTTATGATTAATAACGTTTGAAGTGTGATATGGCAGCAAATATGACCAATTTTAGCAAAATTTTAGGTGTTTCCGCCTCGGTTGAAAACGCCGCGCTAAAGTGCCCTCTTGAGTGGCGAAAATGAGAGGATGTGCCCTATCAGCTGCCCTGTTGAATGATGAAAACAAGCTGATGTGCCCTTTTGGCTGCCCTTTTGATTAACAAAAATGATAGGATGTGCCCTTTTGGCTGCCCTCTTGAGTGATCAAAACAAGACGATGTACCCTATTGGATGAAAACGAGTGAATGTGCCCTTTTGGCTGCCCTCTTGTCCCCATGTCATACAGTAGGTGCCCTTTTTTTCCTTTTCGCCCTTGCCCTTCAAACATCCTGAGTCCGTCACTGATTGGGACTTTATTGTTGTCTCATTTGAGGACATTGGGACTTTATTATCCTCTCGTTTGAGGACATTTGGATTTAATTATTGTTGACAATGTTTAGTTTTTTATACTTATCAGGTCCTACTGATCCGAAATAGATAAGACAAATTAAAAATGCATACCAAACTAAAGTTTGGCTCTCGGGCGGATATAATAATAATAATAATAATAATAATAACTTTATTTGTATAGCACTTTTCAATATAAATAACAAAGTGCTTTACAGCATAAAATATCAGCACACACTCAATATCAACACAAAATACATACAAATTAAACATTATATCAACTTAAACATAACTTCATAAAAGCCTTCCTGTAAAAGTGTGTCTTGATGAGCAATGTAAAATAAGGAACAGACTCTGAAAACCTGATTTCCTCAGGCAAATCGTTCCAGAGTCTAGGGGCCCTGATTGCAAAGGCCCTGTCGCCTTGTTTTCAGCCTAGACCTTGGAACAGCTACAGTAGCAGGGCCTTATCAGCAGATCTCAGACTGCAAGCTGGTTTGTGTGAGGATAAAAGGTCTGAAATATAGGCAGGGGCTAGCCCAAGTCTGGCCTTAAAAACAAAAGAATTTTAAAATCAATCCTAAAATGAACAGGCAGCCAGTGCAGGGATGCTAAAACAGGGGTGATGTGGTCACATTTTTTTGACCTAGTTACATTTTGTACTAACTGTAGATGGTGAAATGATTTCTGGCTGAGACAGGTATAGAAGCTATTACGATAGTCGAGGCGTTAAGAAATAAAAGCATGGATGAGTTTCTCCAAATCTGTGGCTGAGATAAAAGACCTGACTTTGGCTATGTTTCTCAAATGATAAAAACATGTCTGGACCACTTTTTTTTTTTTTTTTTACATGAAGTTCAAAGTTCAAGTCCTGGTCAAAAATGACGCTGAGGTTTCTGGCTGAGGGTTTTACAAGAGGTGTTAAATCGCCAAGGCTTTCCAAAATGGATATGAGATGTTATTTAATAGTACCATGGGTACAGTTGGCACATTGTAGCTTTGAGTTCTAGTTAACTTCAACTGCCAAAACTAGATTTTACAAACTGAGAGACAAGTTGCCTTTAATAGGCACACTAAAATAAATCATTTGGCAGAGGTATTTTATTTTCTGACCATGAGTAATTAATTTTCACGCAAAATTGGTGGTTCTTATGCCAAATCTCAACCCATAAAACATTTTAACTAAATACACTTTTGCTAACCTAAAATAGCCGACGTTTACTATTACCCTATACAGACCTTCTATTTTCCCAGGTGACCTATATGCAGCATGTGAAACATTTGCGGTCGACGTCAAAGTTCGACGTTTTCAGCTTCAACATTTCTATGTAACATACAGCAGAATGTCTGTTATTAAAACTTTGTGTATAATATCACATTAATAGTTAGGTTATCTCAATTTTTGCATCTGTTCTGCACTGTTTCCTCCTCGCTCGACAACACCAGCACTGATTGGCTGGTTGTCACGTGACCTCACAGCTGATTTCGTTGGATGGAGTGTTTTGCTTTGGCCGTTCATCATTTTAACTAAGTTAGCCATTTCTGGTTAGCATCGCTGCAGGATAGCAAAGCAGCCATCGTCAACTGTACAAAGCTACTATGGCACAGGCAGCACAGGCAAATGTCCTCGACGCAAACAACTCTCAGATCCAAGTGGAGCACGACAAAAAGCGTCGGCAGTTTGTGATAAGACTAAATGGTAAGTTCAACATGGAAACATTAGCATGCTAGCTGGCTAACGTTAGCTCAGCGGTTGGTGTCGCTTTTCTCGCTGCCAACATCGTCGCCGTGTCCTCATTGATAACTCCAGCTGCCATTTCAGACAAAGAGGTGTTTGTCGTTTCACTCAGAACAGATGTCACGTCTTTATTCGGATATTATTTCGTGTCAGGAGTTGAACAGACGACACTGCCTCCTGGTCAAAGCTGCTGACTTCCTTGACTTGTAACTTCAGCAGCTTGTTTTTCGGAAACATTTTCATCATTCCATTCCTGAAAGCAAATACGCAACCTTTAATAGCATCCATCACAAAAGACAATTTAATAGGCGTCAGTAAATATCAATCATTAGCGAAGTTCCCGTACAACAACATAGTTCCTCTCCTTATTTGTTATCCGTTATGCTTAAAACACCCATCATCTTAATTTCCTTGATTAATCAAGATCTGTATTATATTAGTTACACTCATATGGGTTTAGGCAGTCATTTTTGAAACGTTTAAATAAAAGCCAGTGTTGACAAAATGATATATATATCGTTTGGTAAGTTTAAAACTCAATGTAAGTTGTTGTTATGTATGAATTCAGATATGTGAGATGTGTTTACAGCATAAAGGTGGAAGCCATTTTTCCCTGAATGAAGATCTTTATCATGTCTGTTTCTCTCCACCCAGCTATTATCCCTATCCACAAACATTGTCTGCAGCACATCACATGGTATCAAACCAGTCACTCTTTTGTTTTAAGTAGACTGAATGCTCATTCACTTATCGAACAGCCATGTTGCAGTGTTATATGTATATTGCAAGCTACTACAACTTGATCGGTAACTTCACTTGCAGTCTGGTACTCAGATTTAAATGTCATAGCTCCATAGTTAAACCAGCATGAGATTGTGTTGCAGGCATGAGGTAGAAGTCTTTGTTTGTTGTGATAGCAGTGAGCAGCAGTATTAATTAATCTTCTCTGTAAGTTTTGTCCTCAAACACAGACAGTTGCCCTCTTATGTATTATTATCATGTATTGTCAGTATCTCCTACAAAGGTGGGGTCAGGTTTCTTTTGGAAAGCTGTAGGAAACTAGGTTGGGTGGAGACAAACTTAAAGGTATACTGAGCAGGATTTTCCTGAAAAACAATGTATAGACTCATACAAAAATAATCCCTCTCAATCATCACTTACAATCCACTAGTGTGTGGCAGTGTATTTATCTGCAGAGACTCAGCCCTCTGCCTGAATTTTCCTAGTTTCTTCTTATTGTGTTATGTTCTGGACATTCCTGGCCACAGTGTGCAGATGAGGCTGGGACTATAATAAAGTAGCACCCAGGGGGCATATCAGAAGCAGCACTCATGCAAGAGGAAGCTGCAAAAATCACAGACACAGCAGCAAAAAAGAAACTAAAAACACAAATATAACGAGGTCAGTCTGGGGTTGGTTTTCACTTTCGCTGGTGATACTGTTTACAAAAAGTAGCCTATAATTAAAGAAAAGAAATAAGAATAGAATACCTTTAACACAACAGAGACCTATGACTTCTGCCTACCCTCAGGATCTCATGATCGAGCAGTTCTTCTGTATGAATATGTTGGGAAGAAGACAGTGGACTTGCAACACACTGAAGTTCCAGATGCTTACAGAGGAAGAGGAATAGCCAAGCACCTTGCCAAGGTAAAACTCATAAGCACTGGTTATTTACATCTATCATGATCTCAAGAGAAGAGATTGTTTCTCTCTGTTCATTTCTTAAAGGCTCAATCTGTAATCTTTTGACCATATAAATTATGGCATATAAAAAACAAACCAAAAAAATGTATAGACCGTTTATTGTGAACTGCATTGTCTGCACATGAATCCAAATTACACTAACGATTAGCTGAAGACTCATCTTACTGTATTAAGAGAGTAGTAAGAGAATTAGTACCTTATTTTAACGACTTCACTGGTGATTTTACCACTTATAAAAAACTGAAGAACACCACATGAAGTTGAATTTCTCAAATATTAAAGTCAATGACCAAAATGTCCATATTAAAAGCTGTCTGATAAGATGCCTGTCAGAACTGTTTTGATGCGATTTTATGCTTCTGTGATGGCAGGCAGCCATGGATTTTGTGGTGGAAGAGGATCTGAAAGCCCACTTGACCTGCTGGTACATTCAGAAATACGTCAAAGAGAATCCTCAGCCTCAGTACTTTGAACATATTTATCAATGACCCCACATGGCTGCAACAGAGAAGGCGAGGAGACAGAGACTCCCAAGGAGTTAAGTACTGTGTGGCATCATGCATTGGAGTTACAGGCTGACATACAACAAAGGACCTTCCAGGCATTGTTAAACGTGACTCTGAGTGACTCCAGAGACAACTGATCTCGTGGCAAAGACGTCCGTGAGCTGAACGTTGGGTCTACGGGTCAGTAACACGGGGATACACACTCACCACAAACAGGAAGTGAATCAGCTGGCCAGTACTTGTTAAAACATGAGCAAATAAACTAACCAAAGCTGAAGCGTGTTACCTCAGAAAGAAAAATTCAGGATACAGACCCATCACTGACTGGAAGCAAGGTTTTAGGCCTGTATTGAGAACAGATGTGAGTCAAATCTTATGTTGCAAATTTCCTGTCCTCCTTTAGACTCACTGGTTGTGAGGAGCGCTGCAAGATGAACGACCCAGTTGTCTTTCTCCATGATAGTTTGAAAGGAAGCAATGACGGCTTCACTGATAATCAAACAGCAATGACTTTTATATTTCAGTTTCCTTTTGATATTGTTTTGCTGTATTTTTTTTTTTAAATTTGCTTTCCCTTCCTCTCAGAAATAGTGTTTCTGAGGGCTGAATTACTTTTTTGGTAGACTGTGAATGCTAAACGCATCTTTGTCAAGCTACTCAAAAGAGGTATTTTTTAGGTGATTGCGAGGAGGTATAGGCATGAATTTGGTGGGTAATGGGTAATTTTTGAAAAATATAATCTGCATTTTGGAGACGTTTATTTTTCCAAACTCAGTTTGGTTCCAGCATAACTCTAGCCACTTCTGTTCGTACCAATAACAGAAATGTACTGTTGATTATTGGGGTCATGAATTGATTAGTCAAAGGTGCAGGGATTTGTAAACCAAAGAAGACAAACTGAGTCTAACTCTGGAGACAAAACTCATTATTTTTGTCATTATAACTGTCAAATATTACGGACACCCGTGATAAATTGGGTTTGAAGCTTGTCAGTCATCTAAGTGTGGATATGGATAAATATCTCTGCTCAAACCAGCATTTCAAAATCAGCACTGTTACATTCAGGGCATTTACATTCTGTGGTGTCCACTGTCCTTTGTTCTGTCTGACAGGAAAATGACACTAGATGGCCGAAGGTTATACACTTCTTTTCTCTTGTCATTTGATCTGTTTTGTTGTTGTTTTTTCTTCTTGTATTCACAAGGCTGCTTTCACCAGCTCATGTCAAAATGATAAAAGTCGTCACGAAAGAAAAATTTTACTGAAAAAAAAAAAGGTTTACTGTAGTTTCCCTTTTTGGCTCATTGGGAGCTTTTGCTGTCGACAATCTTCAGTGTTGAGGAGAAGAATACCTCAGGTTACTCAACGCCTTGGCAGGACACATCAACATGCAAGGCAGACTCCTTTTATCTGCTTTAATCACTTAGAGGTAATTGCAGGAAGCCACTTTCCCTTTGTGAATCTTTACTTTAGGTGACACACTCACCTATTGATAGGCCAAGGTTTTGTTTCATTTGTGTGTGTGTGTGTGTGTGTGTGTGTGTGTGTGTGTGTGTGTGTGTGTGTGTGTATTTCCATTTGTGTGTTTTCTTGAGAGAAAACAAATGTCTGATTTAACACTTGAGCAGGTGGCTCTACCAAAATGTACCAATTCTTGTTATATTGTTTTGTGCTGTGTTTTTTTTTTTCATTTTCTTGTTGTCTATAAATAAATAAAACAATACTAATCACATTGTCAGTGTCAAAGTATGTATTTATACCAAAACAGGGAAAGGTGTGCATACGCCTAACTCTAAAGAAAAGATAAGATACTAGTGTGTGGTATATTTTAGTCAGGGTGCAACTGAGCTGTTTACTACGGTGCAAGTTTCTTGTAGTGTGGCTATAAAGCAATCATGTTTTTCCAGTAGTCATACAATGAACAGATTTTAATCTCATGGTAGTACAGTAATCTTTTAAATCACCGGTGAGCACAGATTGGATAAAGTGTGGATTATTATTCTCTAAGTGCCTAAAAGGGGACTGTGCCTCTCGTTTCAACATTTGGAAAATATCTTGATGTCCACCTCAGAGCGCTATTATTTAGTCGTGTAGTGGTAGTAGATGAGGTGGGTGTACTGATGGGTAGATTACCAAGGAGAAAGTGGTTACACTCATTTGTTCCGGTGTCTTTTGGGCTGATACTGGGTATACTGTAAACAGGACAGAAAAAGAGGTGGGTATATTGTGTACCTGTGTATACCCTCCATTACAACCCTCCATTACACCACTGTTTTTATCCTGTCAGATTAATGCATTGCATAAGTGGTGCATGGACAATCAGAGATATTTAAGTACATACAGCTTTAAACTATGTATATATGTAATGGTAACTTTAAAGATACCATAATAAACACATAAAACATTTTTTCTGATTGTTTAGGCACTGTCTTTGAAACTGTAAGCTAATTTTGCAAAACTCTACACATTTAATACAAAAACCAAACCAGAAAAACATGACAAACAATTCTAATAACATCCTGCAACAGACGCTACTAATTTTAAGAAAAACGGAAGAATGTTGGCGCCATCTAGTGACACTTTTAAGAATTACCTGAGCTCTGTGTCACATGGTGTGCTGTTAACAATGCAAGGGTGAGCGCCTTAAAATGGGTGAGATGGAAAGAAATCTGCCTGCTTGTCTCCCATTTGAAAGCATGGCAGTTCAGCCCAAACCCAGCTGAGTCTTTAGGACTCTCATTAACTACAGAACATCTCCTCATTCCTTAAGAAGACCAAGAAGAAGTGATCTAAGTGAAATGAGGTATCGCTGATAAACTATAAATTCAAAACACGAACATGTAGGCTATAAACCCATATTGATACCCAAAGTTCTCTTAAATCAAGAGTCTTGAATGGCTAAGTGTTGGTGTCGGTGAAAGTGATTTAGGTCTGCAACCAGGGCCATGGCTACTACTGAGGACACTGAGGTCATGTCCTCTGTCATGTCTCTGGGAATCTGGGGCAGGTTAAGTTCTTTAATCAAAAACTTTTCATTGATAGTTATTTTATAGGCTTATTCGAGTGTGTAATAAAGGACTAGAGCTGTGTATTGAATTCAGTGTCTGTTAGATATCTAACGTTGAGGAATATAAACATATATTATCTCACCCCAGTTCTTTTTAGTTGATAAAATATATCAGCATGCTCAGAGCACCAGTAGTATAAATAAAAAGCTTTGCCTGAACAATTATACTCTACAATTTAAATCAAGACTATCTGATCCAATAAATAAATCAACATAAGATTCAAATAAACATGTCTTCAAAAAGCAGACATCAGGTGAAAGGTTTCTTGATCGCATATTGAAAATTAGAGGTTCTAGGGGGGACATGACAGGTCGAGCAACCATGGTTAAACATCATTCAAATATCACACCTTTATAACGCCGGGTTGATTTGCATTGATTCGCCATGCATACATCATTTAGCCTCCTCGATTATGAAGCTCTTATAATTTTTGTCACAGGCGCAGCATTTGGTTTCAGCTGATCGCACATTCCTGAACGTAGCCATTATAGTTGTTACATCCAAAGCGCTTCAGGTTACAGCACGCGGACAGGGAGCCCGTGCTCGCGCACGGGGACACAGAGACAGAGCACGCAGAGCACAATATGGGTGAGTACAAAACACAGATTCAACCACAAATCTTGTAACAGAGCCAGATGGTTGGGACACTGTATCACTATGTCACATATATGTTGTAACTGATGCATGCAATCTACATGTGCAATTGACGATTTAGATATCTAAATGGTTACTGTATTTATTTGATGCACAGTTTTAAAATAGTTACTTGACTAATCGTTATATATTAAATACCTTCGTTAACGGTGTTAGATTTATTTAGAATGTGGTCTGACCTCTCAAACTTCTATGCGCTATTATAAAATACGTAAAGGCAGGTACTCATGCTGTATAGCATTATGGGAATAGTAGTCCGCGTCGAGTCGAAGTGATGCGTCGTCTGCATAGACACACTACATTACCCAGAAGGCTCTGCGCTCTCATACGTCAACTGCAATCACGGTTGTATCTCCAACATGGCGTCGCTGGGAAGGAGGCGCGGTGTCCCAGTAAGCAGGGAGAGGTCAGTTACTCCACATCTAAGCCATTTAACGAAAATATTTTAATATGATACATCCTTTTGTCGATGTCGCCATTCACCATATCCCGAACACGCATATCGTTCGGGACTTAAAGTGAAATGCCAACACGACAGGTCGGAATTTTATCCCAGGGTTAGCTAACATTAGCAGGCTAACGTGTACAGCTAGCTAACGTTAGCAAGGAAACAAACTAGCAGCTCATGTGATGTTTTGGTTATTCCTCAGCAGCCGATTAACCGTGGGAAAAGTTACGTTTAACCGTCCGTAGGGTCGGATGCTGGTGTGATTCGCCACTGTATACATGCTACATAATTGTGGTTGAGCTAACAGTGTTGTTCGCTATGTTTGTCGACCTGTTTTGAAAGTAAAACGGTCCTCAACTTAGCCGGTCAGTCCTCCAACTTTTTATCATGCGAGCGAGTATCTAACCGACGCTCTGTACATTATGTCCCTTGCACTGTGGTCCTTAAATTATTTCCACAGTTATCAAGTACTTCTTTAGCCAATGTCCCGCTGTCTTTGAAGCCGAATAAGCTGATTGTCTATCTAGGTTGTCGTTAGGGTCTGTTTGCCATGTTGTCAAAATTTACTGGAAGGCCTCGGAGTGTTGACATTGATTCAAATAGACGTGTTGGTCGTATGTCAAGTTATTCTACCAATAACTGGAAAATTATACATTTACAGAAAATATTAGTCGATTAATCATCCAGATGGAAAGTAGTTATTGGTCGTAATTTATTTGTCAAGATTGAAAAAAATAAATAAAAGTTGTTAGTTACAGATTCCCAAATATATAATTTTATGTGTCATTTCATATTTCACGCTTTGGTGGTTTTGGGCTGTTAGTCAAACAAAGTATTGTGTTGAAAGCACTTAAGATCTGAAAATGTGTGATCACCATTTGGTTTCTTTCACATTTTATGAATTTATGTAAAACAATATGGAACAAAGTTACCAATGCGATCTGAGGGCATTTGAAGTAATGGATATCCACATGTTGATTTACATGTAGTACACAGGAATATGAATTAAAGTGAGCCTCATAATGTTGTAAAAATGTGCTTACACTCTCTAACACCATTTTATTAACTAAACTTTTTTATCTAGAATGTACCATGTTAACAAAATGCTTTCAGGTTTTTGGTCATGGAAATTGTTTGTAACTGATCATAGGCTATGTTACTTTTACTTTGTAATTGAAAACAAATATAAAATTCATGTATGAATGTTTCAGATGACATGTTAGTAATGGGAGTAACATGTATATTTTTATAAACCCTCTCATGGTAAAATCACTCCCAGATGGCAGTGCCCCCTCCCCCTTCAGGACAATGTGCCATGCCACCCCACAAAAACTGCTCAGGAATGTGACAAAGAGCTCAAGGTGTGAACCTGGTCTCCAGTTTCCCCATATCCCAGTCTGATCAAGCATCTGTGGGACATGAGGGTACATCAACTTGCAACCCACCGGACTCAAAAGGATCCGCTGCAAATTTCCTGGTGCCAGACACCACAAGACACCCCCTAGAGGTCCTGTGTCCACACCTTGACAGGTCAGAAACCCCACCGTGGATCAGACTTGGCTCTGACCTGCCAAGGAATGGACACAAGACCTTTTGCGTACCAGCACGTCCCACAGATGCTTGATTGGATTGGAATCTGGGGAATTTGGAGGCCAGGTTGATGCCCTGGGCTCTTTTTTAGTGTATCATGGCACATTGTCCCGCTGTCCCACATTGTCCCCCGGGCACTGCCATTTAGGATTGACATTGCCGTGAGGGGGGGTTACTTGATCTACAAAGGTGTTTGTGTGGGTGGTGCTTGTTAAGTGGAATCTACGTGAATGCCAGCAGAACATTGCATTGTAACGAGATGATCAATATTATTCACTTCACCTGTCATTGGTTTAAATGCTTTGGCTGATCTACACATACATGTTGTGATTTGGTAAGCCTTGTGGAATTTCAGTTTAGAAACAATTTGTGTGAAATAACTAGCTGGGAATGAACTATTCCAGACAAAAAATATTCTTAGGTCCATGAAAATGGGCAGTTCGATGTAAAAATGTAGTCAAACCAGTCTTAAAATTACCGAGTCTAGTTACTCCATTCTCTATACTTTGTCTCACTGCTCCTTGCTGGTTTTTCTGTTTCCGAACAGGGGAGTGATGGCGGCGACAGACTGCTACATTGTGCACGAGATCTACAATGGGGAGAATGCGCAGGACCAGTTTGAGTATGAGCTGGAGCAGGCACTGGAGGCCCAGTATAAATACATTGTCATTGAGCCCACACGCATCGGAGATGAAACGGCCCGTTGGATTACAGTGGGCAACTGCCTGCACAAGACGGCCGTGTTGTCAGGCGCTGCTTGCCTACTGACGCCACTTTCACTACCCGTTGAATACTCGCGCTATGTGGCATTGCCCGCTGGTGCCCTCAGTGTGGCCTGTGCTGCCCTCTACGGGATTTCATGGCAATTTGACCCCTGCTGCAAGTACCAGGTGGAATATGACAGCCAAAAACTCTCGCGGCTGCCCCTGCATACACTCACCTCCTCGACGCCCGTGGTATTGGTAC